GGGAATATGATACAGCCATTAATAATGATATTTAAATGCCATAAGAAAATATTTATACTGGGTTGCTGGGCTAGGAAAATGACTTAGTGGGAACAGTGCTTGTTGGTTTGGATCCCCAACACCCATGTGGCTGCCCATGCCTGTAACCCCAGCAATGAAGGGAGGAGGGGCAGAGATGGAAGAATTAATAGGGCTTGCTGGCCACCAGTCTAGCCAAGAAATGACAAACCTCAGGATCAATGAGAGGCCCTATCTCAAGAGAGTAAGGCAGTCAGCAATAAAGGGCTCCCAATTTCCTCCTCTGGGACAGACAGACAGACACACACACACACACACACACACACACACGAGGACCAAAATTTTTAGACTAAAACATTCAAATTTTTAAATGTTATCAATTGGGGATGTGTGATAGATGGCTCAGAGGGTAAAGGCGCTGGCTGTGCAAGTCTGATGACCTGAGTGAGTTCCATCCTCAGAGCCCATGTAAAGGTGGGAGAAGAGACCCAACCCCATAAAGCTGTCCTCTGACCTCCACACACACATCATGGCACATGTGCCCTCCCCACATCATGTACTCACATACAAACAATAACAATTTCTTTAATGTTGCCAATGGGTAGAGATATAGCTCAGTTGGTAGAGTGCTTGCCTAGTGTGCACAAAGCCCTGGGTTCAATTGTTAGCACTGAATAAAACTGAGGCCCAGTGGTACATGCCTATAATCCCACCCCTTAAGAGGCAGAATCAGGAAGATCAGAAGTTCAAGAACATCCTCAGATATTAGGTGAGATTGAAGTCACCTTCAACCTGGGATACTGAAATCCTGTCTCAAACAAGAAAGAAACAACAAATTAACAAAATTATTAAGTGAGGCATAGTAGCACATACCTATAATCCCAGCACTTAGAAGGCTGACACAGGAGAACTGGCATGAATTCCAGGTCATCTTGGGCTGTGCAGTGACTTACAGACAGCCTGGGTTACAGTGTGAGATCCTGTCTCAAATCCAAAGTCATCCAAATCTGAATTTAGTAACATTCAAAATTACTCTTAAAATGTGGCACACATAGCTGATGTGGCACATCTGGAATCCCAGAACTCCTGAGGCTGAAGTAAGTCTTGAATTTGAACTCAGCCTCAGCTACAGAAACAGCCAGTCTCAAAACAGAAAAAATAAAAATTAAAAATTAAAATTTTATTGAGACACTGTTTCCTGTATTAGAGGCTAGCCTCAAACTTTTTGTTATAACCTTGAACTTCTGATCCTCTTGCTTCCACCTCCTAAGTGCTGGATGACAGGCACAGGATCCCCAACTTATGCAGTATTGTATGCAGGGTTTCATGTATGTTTAGGCAAGCACTCTACCAACTGACCCATGACCCCAGCCCCCAAATGCCACACATAATATTAACCTATTTATTTATTTTTGTGTGCGTGCATATGGGTACACATGTACCACAGTTTTTGTGTGGAGATCAGAGGACAACTTGGCAGGAGTTGGTTCTCTCCTTCTACCATGTGAGTCCCAGGGATCTAACTCAGGCCATAAGCCTTGGTGGCAAGTACCTTTACCCACTGAGCCATCTCCCCAGTCCAAATGCCATACTGGAAACAGTTGTTTTCTAAGTAATAGAACCATGACTACGTTTTCATACATTTTTGTAGGAAAAAAGCAAGTGTGGGAGTGTTATAGCTAGCCAAATAAAACTTTTTAGTCTTTTTTACTTAGGCCTGTATTTTTTTTCCTTCTGAGAAAGTCAGTCTAAGGCACATGTGTTTTGCCTTGTCCTGTGAATTCACAGTGGACAGTGTTAGTGCGGCAGTAATCAGCAAGGTCACATGTTCTCATGACATCATCCCATAAACCCCACATGACCATAGATCACCTCCATTTTATTTACCCTTAAACACTAAGGTTGAGTACTGGCTCTGATCAGGCAGGGAGTGAATTTCTACCATTTTCAACAGCTAGGCATTCACAGTACCTTAGGACTATTAGTTTCCAAGCATTTGCAAATGAGCTGAGCATCAAGGGTGCTTCTTAGATGGTTTCACAGAATCAGCACCACAGGGGGTGGAAGTGGGTATGGGAGGCATTACTTCCCCCTTACATTAGCAAGCGTTCCTCACCTTTTCCAAGTGAACATACTTTCTGATCCATGTATGTGTGTATATTAAATAGACTCACACCAGGAATATTTTTAGCATAATGCTGGAAATAAAGCAGGCAACAAGTATTAACTACCTATTAACTATAATAAAATATATCAGAGAGTTGTCGGGCACAAACATAAAACCAGTGTAACAGAGCAGACCAGCGGAACCTACTGTTGAAATTTTATGAAGAATCACTGAAAGTCTTTTGCCAAAAATGCAGAGATGGAAACAGCCACCCCCAGTGAGATAGTGACATCATGTGTAGCATTTGTCCCTGTGACATCAATCATATGTTCACGCTCCTCCCTTGCAAAGTATATGAGGAAAAAAAATCAATTTAATCAGACTTCCAACTTAATCGGAAAGGCAGTAACACAAGATACTCAGTATAAGGGGTCAGGGGAGACAAGCATGGGGCTTAAGAGCAGCTCAGTGGTATAGCATGTGTTCGGCATGTGGGAGGCCCTAGTTTCAATACCCAGCACACACACACACACACATACACACACACACACACACAAATACACAAATTAAATAAATTAAATGCTCACTCATGTGGCAGGCTGGATAACTAGTGTAAAGGTGACAAAGGAACACCTGTTGGCTCTGAAATACGGAATTCTGCAGGTACAAGGAACGACACTTGCAGATCACCTACCCAAACCCCAGTATTTCAAGAGAGCTAGCAGCTTTGTTGAGGTCATGACTACTAAGTAGCAGAGGCAGGCAAAATAACTAAGGAAACTCAGTGAGATGTTAGTCTTAGAAAAGGCTTCCAATGATGAATAAAGAGAAAAACAGATTAGATGAAAATTAAATGGGACAACATTCTCGTTTCCTTACTTAATAAAATCAACAGGCAACTGATATGATTTTTAGAGGGTGTTGGGGTGTTGGGGACTTTTGAATGCTGAACATTTGCCCTGACACTGTGCTATTCCTCCAGGCTCCTGATTTGATTTCTAGATTAGATTGCCTCCGTAATGTGAGATCAGTTTCAAACCTTTTTTCTAAGATTTATTTTTATTTCTTATTTATTTGTATATGTCTGTCTGTCTCTCTCTCTCTCTCTCTCTCTCTCTCTCTCTCTCTCTTCTCTCTCTCTCTCTCTCCCCCAGTACAACATACTTTCTATGTCTGTCTGTCTCTCTCTCTCTCTCTCTCTCTCTCTCTCTCTCTCTCTCTCTCTCTCTGTGTGTGTGTGTGTCTGTGTGTGTCTGTGCTATGTGTTTGTAGATACCTGAGGAAGCCAGAAGAGGGCGTTGGTTTCTCTAGAGTTCAAAACTGAACTCAGATGCTCTAGAAGAGCAGCAAGGGCTCTAAACTGCTGAGCCATCTTGCCAGTTCATAAACATTTTTGGTGTTAAGACAGGGCCTCATATATTCTAGGCTAGCCCTGAAATGACAACATAGATTGGGATGATCTAGAATTCCTGGCTCCCCCTATCTCCACCTCCCAGGTGCTGGATTACAAGGTCATCCTTGGCTACACAGGGAGTTTGAGGCCAGCCTGAATTACTTGAAATTCTGTCTCAAGAAATCAAAATAAATAATTTATAAATAACTTAAAAGAATTAAGTTTTTATTTTTGTAAGAAATACAAGTCTTTTAACTTCTGACACAAAGCACACAGGCAAGTAGTTACATTTTCTTTTGTTTTAAAATAATTCCTATGAGTTTTTATGCACAGTTAAGGCTCAGGTTAGCATTTCTCTTTCTTCAAATTATTGTCAGAGACTGTATTTTTCAATCCCTCAAAAAAGTATTTTAAGTATAGAGTAGCGCTTGATGGTGCATGCTTGTGATCCTAGCACTTGGGAGGCTGAGCTAGGAATTATCGACCAGCCTGGGCCATATACTAACCTGTCTCAAAAACACCAAAAGAGAGAAGAGATAGCTTGATAAGGGCCCTTGCCTCCAAGCCTGAGGACCTGACCACCTGAGTTCAATGACCCGAGTTTGATCCCTGGAACATACATGGTGGAAGGGCAGAATCAAGTCCTGCACATTGTTCTCTGACCTCCTTAAATCTCTGTGGCATGCACAAACCCACACACCCACAGTACATACATAAATGTAAAAATCACCAAAAGAAAAAAAAAAAAAAAGACTACTCAAATTACCAATTCTGTGTCTCTCATGTCTCTCTTCTCTTTCTCTCCCTCCCCCATCTCTCTATCTATCTCAATCTCTCTCACCCTCCTCCCCGGACCCAACTCACTATATAGCTTAGGTTGGTTTCCAGCTGAAGATTCTCCTGACAGCCTCCCTAGTGCTGGGATTACAAACCTGTGCCACCATTCCTCCCTAGTTCTCTTTCTTTATAATCTTGCTATTTTCATTGAAAACTCCAGTTTTTAATGCAGATAGGAGAAACAGCTACAATGTGGTTTCAAAGAAGTAAAACAAATTAATAATCATATGTATAAAAATAAAATAAAATAATAAAATAAAATAATTTTATAAGACGTATAAAAAGTAAAATTCAGTTACTACATAACTTTCTTACAACCACGGCCAAATAAAAACTGCTGTGCAATTCCAAAGTTCCACACAAAACCTTAGCATTTCAGACCCACAAAATCTAAGCACTGGATTCACCCAGTCATGTTAAAGCATTTTCCAAAGTTTTAGAAACTAATTCATTGCAGAAAAGCTACGAAAACTATTTAAAAAATAAAAATTATAAACAAATAAGGGTGAAGGAATTTGTCTGCCGAATATCAAACCTTTACAGAAATTCAAAACCAATCTAATAATTTCCCAACACCAAACAGTAGTTTACATGCAAAAAGTGCATGTTTGAATGCGATCAATTAACACCCTGCATTCTACTTACTTTGTTTTTTGCCATTTATGAGCTTCATTAAAGACACACAGAGGCAACCAGTTGAATGAGGTTAGGCTCAGATAAGAAAAAACAGTCCTGAACTCGACCTACAAACTGACATCGCAGAACGTCCAGTGGGAGGCACCCTTTACAATCTACCATTATATATACTAGCGTGATTGTGAAACAACGCAGTCAGCGCAGTACAATTACACTTAACGCTACTCCCTCCCCGGGGGAAAAAAAAAAATCCACCTCCAGTCCTCATTGGTCTATATAGTTCCGGCCCACATGGTATCAGTGGGTGTTTCCCGCTAAACAAGCCACCTCATTGGCTATGTAGGAACAGTGTTTAATAGGCTGTGATTTGGGGGACTGTCAAACTCCACGCCTCCAAACTTAAGCTTGCCAATGGGCCCAAGATTCTGGCGGTTACTCTGCGATTCAAAGGGCAAGCCGGTCGCCTGCACTGCAAGCCCCAAAAGATGCGCTCGAAGGAGGGAGAAGTGAGCCTGGGCGCTCCAGCCGCTCCAGCCGCAGCTCCGGACCCTACCCAAAGCTCACTCGGGTGCATTTTCCCTGCGACCACTAAGAAGGGCCGGCAGTGCGTTCGCCTTTCATCCACCGTGGCCGAAGGACCAGTTAAAGCTGGAGTCCGATCGGCCCAGTAGGTGGACAGGACTAAGCAGGGGCAGGCTCGGGCAGCGATCTCTGGTTGCTGGACTCCCCAGGGGAGGCAGCAGTCCCGAGTGGCCCTCTGTGGTCCTTCGGCCGCGGGCACCTTGGCGCACCGAGCGCCGCCGCTCCCCTCCCGGCGGGACTTACGCGGCCTATTCTTCCTCCCGGAGTCCATCCTCCTCCGCAGCCGGCATTTCTTGGCCGGGGAGTCATGCTGGGCGAGCGGCGGCTGCGGCTGCGGCTGCAGCTCCGACAGGACCGGGAGGCGTGCGAGCGCCGGGTCGCGGCCGCGACTGCAGACGAGCGGCGGCTGCTCGGGTGGCGGGTGGAAGCCGTTGTGCAGCAGCCCGTTCGCGGCGGCGGCTGCGGCGGCGGGGCC